TCTCTTGATGTTCGCAAGAGAAAATAAAGAAAAGTTCACCGATTTGGCTGAACAAGAAGTCCAAAGGTTAAAAAGCGCAAAAGTAAGTTTTGCGTTAGAAGTAAAGTTTTCAAGAGAAAGAGACGGAAAAACGCAAGACATAAGGCACTTTTTTCGTGACAAAAATAACCAACCGCACCTTTTCATGAGGCCTGATAAGGCCCAGATAGAGCAAAAATTTGACGAATTTATTGAAAACACAAAAGGAAAAATAGAGCACTGGTCAGAGAAGGGATCAGGATGGGAAGTTGAAAGAATAACGATTGCATACGTAGATGTCGAAATCTATCATCCAATTCCCGGAGGAACCTATTTGCCTCTTCCAGCTTGGCTGGCAAATAAGAAGGCAATAATCAACGTGAAAAACAGAGACAACGAATGCCTGAAGTGGGCTCTCAGAGCTGCTTTATCTCCTGCACCGAAAGGGAAGAACCCATATAGACCAAGCAGCTATCCGGTTAACGACGGTATTAACTACCAAGGAATCGATTTCCCAACACCGGTAAAGCAGATAGACAAGCTTGAGGCACAAAACAAAAACCTCGCAATAACCGTATTTGGCTATGAAAACAACAATGTGTTCCTGCTCAGGTTTAGCGGCAGAAGAGAAGAAAAGAATGTGAAACAGGTAAACCTGATATTAATTGAGTCAGGGGAAACAAAACACTATTGTTTTGTAAAACGGGTGAGCGCTCTGTTGTTTGATAAGTCATTGAATAATAGAACCCACTATTGCTTGATGTCCTTATCGCGTTTCACAAAAGCTAACTTGCTCGAGGACCACAAAAAATATTGCAATGGTGCGAACGGCAGGCCGACAAGGATTGAAATGCCAGAGGAGGGGAAAAACACCCTTTCCTTTCAAAACCATCACAAAGAGATGAAGATGCCCTACGTTATTTATGCGGACTTCGAGGCTTTAGTCAGGAAGATTCCGGGCTGTGAGCGTGGGCCAGAGAGAGAGCAAACAAGCTACACAGAGAAGACCCAAAGGCATGAGGCATGCGGCTATTCTTACATGGTTGTGAGAAGCGACGGAGAGGTTTCAGGGTCAAAGGTTTACAGGGGCGAAAACGCGGTGGGAACTTTTCTAAGTGACATTCTGCAGGAAGAGGAGAAAATAAGAGAGAGTTTGGCCGCACCAAAGCCGATTGTGATGACGGCTGAAGACTGGGAAAAATTCAAAAA